CTGAACGCCTCAGAGCTTAATGAATGATTATTTCGGCCCTGCTCTCCAGAGAGACATACAGACTGATCTGAGACATCTAAGGCCGTCTCCTTTCATCTTGACGTATCTCTCCATATGTCATCCTCTGTCTCCACTTGCATCCTGCCTTCTCTTTTCTCTTATCCTCACTCTAACCACCTCAACATGCCCCCCCGGTTTAGTTTTCTTTTCCGCCGGCCACCTTCCACTCTATCTGAAGCACAACATCTCACCTTCTCCCTCACCACCCCCCCCCTCCAGTCTATTCCTTCAGCATCTCCTTGATCCATCACTGCTTCACTGCTGTCCTCACTTGCTCCCACTTTCCTCTTCACATCAGCCCCCTCACCCTCTCCCCCGCCGTCTCCAAGTTTCCTTCCACTCATGTCTCTTTTCCTTTTTGTCTAATTCACCACCGCATCCCGAGGCTTTGTCAGCGCAAAGTGCTCCGTCTGTCCCCCCCCACTCCTGTCCTGTAGTGCCGTGCGAAGAGAAGGGGACCCACCAACTAGAGCTTTAAGTTATGTAATGAGATCATCTGGAGACTAATGCTATACCAGATATACCAAGCAGCAGCCATTAGTGGCGTATAGCATAACCATTTGTCTGCCCTGTACAAACATCCTTTAGGTTTGTCACAGATGGAGCTCAATGATATTAAAACCTCCAGATAAAGCAATATGTGTTTGCACGAGTAATCCTCCTTTCTAGTGCTTTTGTCCAGGGTCTCGCTTTTTCCTTGTGTTTTAGGAGGGGATACATGGATGGAGCTTAGAGGGTTGTGCTTTGCAACAAGGACAGATGGAGGACAAAGAGAAACAAGAGGAGGTGTGGGCAAATCCATGTGCCTGTCTGCAGGGGGGCGAAGACAAGGATGACTACACACACACCTTCACACATGCATGTGTGTGTGTGTGTGTGTGTGTGTGTGTGTGTGTGTGTGTGCATCCAACACCCTGGAAGCCTCGGTGCAGCCCGAGGGGCAACTATGGCCGACATGAGAGGAGGTCTGGGTCTCCCATGTGAAAATGCTGTCAATTAGCACCCGAGTCAGAACACATTTCTCCATCTTGGGAGGTCGGCACTGACGGTGCAGTCAGTTCAGTTTGGTGCTGTAATGATTTCACTGTAACGTCGTTGGTGGTAGAGGTGGTCAGCCTATATGTACAGGGTTGCTCTTACTTTAATTCCTAAATTTGAATCAGAGCTACTAAAGTTTATAATTACAGGGTTTGGATTGGCGATTGAACAACATAAGTAATCTATAAATCACTCTAGAATGTTGTTTGCCATTTTCTATTTAATTTCTACCATTTAGAGATGAAACCAGGGTTTCTGAAACTCTGACCTCTTCCACTGAGTCTGGTTCGTTCAACTACTTCTTAGGATGGTTCTCTGCAGAAACAGTTGGTAAACTTGTATTCAGATGAACCAAATATTCCCCTCCAAAGGTCAACAGGGGCAGTCAATAATAATAATTGCATAAATGTAATATTGAACCCTACCTGTTATTATGCCCCAATTTGATATCAGGTTTACTGCTTACTTTTCCCTCACTGACTGTTACACACTCATTTGCCCCTGCTATCTGCTCTCTCTCTCTCTCAAAGCGTTTAGAGATTCAGGCGCAAACAAGCCCATAAAGTTGTCCTGCTCCGTGCAGTTTGCTCTTATTTTGCATCCGAAATTGGAGATGGTCTATCAGCACCTCTACTCATTTTGCTCTCTCCAAGATCATTAGCTAGATGAAGGGGAGGGGCAAGTATTTTGGGAGAGGCGCTTGCTTGTCAACAGGCAAGGCAGGCAACAGCTTGGGGCCACCAGACTATTTAGGGGGACCCCAAAGCAGCAGCCGAAAATGTGCAAATGTTGCAATGACGGTAGGAAACCTCCCTAAGGGGGGGTTCCCCATCTGACAGAACTCACTCTTGTTGTCCTGGTGAACGCTGGTTGTGGGTTGATTTTTTTTGCCCTATCAGACTCTCGAATCGCCACTGGAGAGCAGATTTAAAAAGCTTAATGTGAGTCTCGATGATTAAAACAGAGCTGAAAGGAGCAAGCAAGGACTACTCAAAGACAAAACAACTCGGCTTCAGACCTCTTCATACATTTCACCTCTGAATATATTGAAAATATATTTGAATCTCCCTTGGGATCAATAAAGTATCTATCTATCTATCTATCTATCTAAAATAGACATGCCACCAATTACCAAGTTGTTAGTTTGTGCATCCCATGTACTGAGGCTACAGTCCCCAAGTGGGTAGTCTGGGTTTAAATCTGCCCTGTGGCACCTTTCCCGCATGTCATTCTCCCCCATGATTTCTGGCTCTGTCCTGTTTCTCCATAAAAAGGCATAAAAAGCCTAAAAATAAATGTAGATAATTTATTTTGAAGTGCTCCATAGGTTGAATTGTTTTCCTGATTACTGGCAAGTTGTCACATGACATCATACTGTGGCGCAATGTGACCACCTAGTCTCAACAGATGTTAGCTGTTTTTTCCCTCTTAACTGTGCATGGCTGGTGGTGAATGAGAAATGATTTGCAATGAGGCTGATTTTGTATAGAAAGGGGTCCATTTTTGTGTAAAAATAATAATAGCTTCATAGTATTCCTACCAAACAGCACCCCCGCACAGAGATATTGTTTGCTCTTATGTACATATCGGAGTGCAGTGAACCCTTTGCATGTGTTTTCAGTGTCTATTTGACTCATTTGCACAGATGTAGCAGCAGCAAAAGCCATGCAATCCTTTTGTGAATCAGGCACTCAATCTTCGATTTTGGGTTGCAATGTTTAATCTTACTCAAGTCTGGGATTCTCGAGAGTCCCTTAAACCTTTAATTCTGCCACAGTACTAAAAAAAAAAAATTCTGAATCCTGGTTCCAGTGACCCTTCCTCATCGAGCCATCCATCTGTAAAGGCTCACTCCTGTCCTCGCTCTTTCATCAGTTCTACACAGGAAATGATTTCTTTCTCAGTGACAATACAGACCTCTACATTGGACTAATTATAGGAAAGGGATATTACGTCAGACACAGGTCTCCCTCATCAGAGCTCTCACAGCTGAACATGTTTAACAGTTGCCATAGAGATATAACTAACTGTATTTGTAACGTGAGACGTGATTGAAAGCTCTGGAGGGAAAAAGGCAAGAAAGTGGACTGTAAGTTCATCCGTCATCATTAACACTTGCATCTTAAAAGCCAGAACCAAAATACATTTAGCATTTTGGCTTTTTGATTTAGGGACAGATATCAGGGAATTCTTGCTTTGATTTATGATAAAAAAAAAACATCTCACAAAGACAAAGCAGTTTAAGTAGGAAACAGGTGCCTTAATTAATAAATCTCATAGTTCAAGGTAATATCAGGGAAGTTTGTTGACTAAATGGTCAGCGTTGTTATTTTTAGACAGCCATGGTTGGTAATTCTGGTTTGAAAGTAGCATCTCCTCACATACGCGTCATTTATTTGTACTTGACTTAGAACTGACTGACTTTGTTTTTGTTGATGCTTTACCCAAACAAATATGGAGATATATCTCATGTATTGAGAAATGTATCGCCATTCAGTTAAAAAATATCGAGAAATATATGTGTAACGCCAAATAGTTCAAATGTATGGAGATATGATTCTTGGTCCATATCGTCCAGCCCTACTTGAGACCAGGTTGCCTCACACTGCCTCTGTTATCAAATGCCATTCTTATAATTAATGTAGCCACACAATGTAAACGCTTCCACACATAATACCTCCAACATCATGAACAATTAGCCCTCAATAGAAAAAAGAAATATACTACATATCTGTTCCCATACAGCTGCAACAGCTGTTTTATTGACATCCTGATGACATCACCGGTGCTGAATTAAGTCAATACTATTCTGTAACTTTAACAGTGCTGCTGACTTGACCAGTTAGACCGACTTGGCAAAAGACACCAAAACATTGGCTGAGTTCAGCTTTGGCAATCATAGCAAGCTGCAAAAAAAAAAGTCTGAATCAAGCTCACACTATTCAAATGTTGCAACTGACACCACATGGCTCACGAGCTCCACTAGATGATTACTGATTATTCAAGTCCGTAAGAAAATCCCTGTTAAGCTTGCCAGCGTGCTATTTTCAATTCTATTTCCAGTTAAAAGAATGCTGATCTCAAGCTTGTCATTGAATTGATTTCACATCTTTTTCACAGAATTAAAAAGAAGGCATGTACCAAGAAGTACACATCTTATACCCAGCGTATTCTGAACCTACTGGAGCTAACAGGAAATGGTTGAAAAAAGTAGATTTCTGTTAAGTAATGCATGCAGCACAGTCGCCACTACCATTTCCAGGGGATTATTAGTTACAGATGTTGAGCTCCAAGAAGGCATGTTGTTGTTGTTTTTTTTCTTTCCAGTGATTGTTAATGAGTATCAAAACACTACAAGCTTTACTCAAACAAGGAAATCAATCTGATTTCTGTGAGCTAATCCCAAGAGAATCTATTTTGTCTTTCATCTTTGACAGCCTCTTCACTGGTGACTTTAAAGACTCTACTGTACATACAGTAGCCAATGCAACTGGCACCCAATCACTTTTGTTTAGTAGTAGCCTCCTTCATGTAGGCTAAGTGCATGCGTTGTGGACTAATATTCAAAATCCTTCGTTTAAAAATAATACAAATGCTATTTTTTTCCAAGTTTCCCCACACATTACCTGAAAATGCCCACACTAAAGCATCACAGAAGAGCGGACAAGCGTTGTTTTTGTTATAGGAATTCAAAATGTACTAACAGCATATGAGCAAACATAAAGCCTAAATAAAGAGGCAACCCAGGAAATGTTTCACAAACCTGCCTGATGTTCCTGACACAAACTCCCTGTAAACGCTGTTCTCTTCTGTAGGCTACATTAACATTTACATTACATTACATTTACATTACATTTACATTACATGCAGTGACACACAGAAACATGTAAACTGCCCCTCACCTGCTTTCTGTGCCAGAGACTGGAACCCCACGACGAGCCCCAGCAGTACCCCCGCGAAGCACATCTGGAAGGCGAACAACTCCTTTCGCTTTCTCCGCCGGGCTTTGCTCGTCCGTCGGTTCAGCATCATTCCTCCTCCGACGGCCGTCTCCGGCATCCCTTCAACCACCACGCGGGCCATGGCGCTCTTCTCTCGGCGAGCGTTCTGGAGGAACCCCCGGTGGTGGTGCAAAGGTATGAGAAACTGAAGCGAGGGGGGGAAGAGATAGAGAGATGTGCTGTGTGAGCACTGAACTTACTCGACGAGAGATGATATGACGAGCTCGTCGATGGATTTGTAAAGTCAACCACAGTGTAAAGAGTACAACTTCCGGTGTTTAAATTTCAAAACAAATCTCCGAGTCATGGTAATTTATTATGGGCATGTAGCCTATTGCATGCACAAATGTTAAAACCAAAACACCATTATTTGATCATCTATAACGAAAAATAAATCGAAGTTTTTTTATGTCGTGGATTCTCTCCTCACACGAGTCATTCCAGAATTGCGGGTACAATTTTTTCAGAATTTTTTATTCTGATAGAACACAATCTTAATGTTGTATAATTATTGTCTTCTAACCTCAAACTTATATGATTTAAAATATTTATTCTCAAAAACAACATACTAACAGTAAAGTCGGTCAACTCTGTTAGAGACAAATTGGGTCAATTATATAGAGTAAAACAACAATATATAATTTATATAAATATATATAAAACCTTGCCCTCCCTAAGATAACTTTTGTCTCTATATCCATAAATGAAACTTTTAGACCGATAAGAAAGAGACTTTAAAAAAATATAAACTATGCCAATGCATTTAACTGATAAGATGTCAAGATCGTGCCCTTTTTCATTAAATGTAGCTTTAAAAATGTATTAAATAAATTGTAATTTATTGTGGTAAATATGTTAGTCATTACACACTTTCTAATCAATTTGATAACTATAAAACATATTTAATCATCATTTTTAAATAAAAACAAAACACAAACAGAGTTGACATTGACAGAGATGCATAACAGAGTTGACCACCCATAGTTAAAAGACCAAAAAACTATTACACATTCACCTTCATTCAAGGACCACATTCAAGGATGTAAAAAGGGGATGTAAAAAGGGGACTTATACATATTAAAATAAAGCCTTGTATTATGGTCACAGCTGCATATTTTAAGACCAAAGCTATGTTAGGATGCATTAAGTCTTTAAATAAGATGCAAATTAAACAAATGTATCAATAATGTTGTCGTTATCCTATATATAAACTTATTTAAGGTTAAAAACAGATCATTCTTACTGTAGGTTATATAGTTTGAAATGGGATATTATAGAAATAATACTGAAATCACCCCGCTGAGAGTGAAACTCATTAGTTATCTGAATCATGGCTAATATATTATTCGGACATAATAATAATGTATACTTTATTGATCCTGCGAGGGGAAATTCATTTTTACACTCTGTCAAGTTAACATGCTACACAAACATAGGCCGAAATACAAACAGGATCCTATGGACATGCGCTAATGGAGAGGTCTCAGAGTGAGGGGGCTGCCCGCAGTGGGCGCTTCTGAGCTGGTGGGGGGGTTATGTGCCTTGCTCAAGGGCACCTCGGCAGCGCTCAGGAATAGGACTGGCACCTCTCCAGCTACCAGGCCAATTTCCAGACTTGGTCCATGCCAGGAGCGACCCTCTGATTCCCAACCCAAGTCCCTACAGACTGAGCTACTGCCGCCCGAAGGTTCATGTGCCCGAAGGCACATGAAGGTTATGGTCATAATTATTTGCCAACAGCTAAATGTCCTGTTAAAGGAAAAATAGGAAGGTATTGATGTGGGATACATGCACTACATGGTGAAAACCATTCACTGTAAGATAAATAAAGGCCTTAGACTAAAATACATTTTTCTAATTAAATGGTGAAATTAAATTACTTTAATTTCAAACTTATTGTGTTTTGTTCATCCTGCAGATAAACTGGCTTTTGTGGGTTTCAAGGAATCCTTCAAACCTGACTGGGTTCATCTGAAGGTGGATGCAGACCATGCCAAGATCTATCAAGCTCTGCCTGTGCCTGTCGTCCGCAAGTTCAAACTATGAGTGAGCAGTGAGCATAGCAGGGAAGAGAGCCCAAAGACTATGTAGCCCCCCCAGACAAAGACTTGCCCCCACCCCCCAACTATCAACACCATAGCCACCTAAAAGCACATGCACATGCACAGACACACAAATTACATATTCTATACACACTGCCATCACTGCATGTGTTTTGTTAGGTTATTCTGGTTAAAAAAACAAAAAAACAACAGCGATTATCACTGCCCATGAACAATCTGCCTGTGTAAACACAACCTCACGTACAGGGCCTACAGCTGGAAACACCCTCGAGGTACACCACTTACAACGTCTTAATTGACAACAGATCAGCATGGATTCATACAAAATTACAGCATGGGACAATGTACATCTGGTCATCAGTGTTTTCATATGAATGCTGCCTATCATACGGTCTGTAGTACATGTTACGCCCCGCCATAAGGCGGCCCTATGGGGCCAACAACAAACCACACATTGACCCATTAAAATACTTAAAACACCTTAACAAAGCCAAAACAAAGGGATTTATTACAATACGACACACTAAATGATAACAAAGATCAAATGAGAAACAAAGGAGAACAGACAATCCCTGACAAGAGCGGCATAGCAGTCTCTCCTCAAAATGACTCCTCAAAATGACTCCTTTCCTGCAGCCGGCACTGGCTTTTTAAGCTCTGAGGCCTGGTGTACCTCGTTGTGCAATTAGTGGCTTCACCTGGGCTGGAAAACAGAAAGGGAGAAGGGACAAACAGTACAGGGAAACATACAGCTGTAACATACACCAGGTCATCTACACTAATCAAAGCGAAGACATCTGTGTTCTCCGCAATACAAAAGCATTTAAGTGATCATCAAAATACATTGTTGAGACTTTACAAGTCAGAAGATGACAGTTTTCATCTCGAACAATTACATGGACAATCCGGTTAAATAAAGGCATCTCATTTTCAACACCAGAACATACATACATCCCAACTTGATACTCTGTGCCAAAGCTTTTGACCCAGGAAGTGGTTGAAACAATTAAACACATCAGAAGTTTCTCCCAGTGCCTCATTGCACTCATTGCTTCTAGACTGCTGACCAAGACCTCCGTAATGGGGCCAAACTGTAGCCTTTGAAAATAAAAATTCTCAAAGTGAAAAGCGAGCTGATTCTGATGTTTCTTAACCAGTGTTTTTGTGATGTTTTTAAGGTTCTTTACAGACTTCTTAAAGAAGTTGTGCTTTCCTTCAAATCGCATGCACCACATGTGTATGAGTGGCCCAATTTTCCTTATACAACTTGGGTAATGGATCATCAGATGGTGCTTTGGAATCAAATTTCGCTATGGAAAGAGTGATTTGAAGAGCTTGTGATGATCAAAAATCAAATGTTTTAAATAGCAGGTCATACCATGGGTTACAATAGGTGAAAACACAATGTTTACGATTTGAATTAAGAGGAGCAGCAAGTTCCAGCAGCCATCCTCTCTGTGAGCTAAATTGCCAAACATCAACAGAGCATTTTGTAAAAGGCACCAAGACTGTATAGCATTTAGACCAAGATCTTTGCTATGGTCATCCAGTTTAAGTCTACTCGGCCTGTATATCCATAATTGAAACTCAATCGTTTTAGCTCGTACTGCACCACTCCCTCCACTAGATCATGCATTATATCTACAGCGTAGTTTTCTGATGTATGAATGTTCATTAACACAGAATTAAGCTTTGGTGGTAAATTTCTCAAAATAAAATAATTCAACGAAGTTTGTGCACTCCCTTTTTTGAGCCTAATGGATTAGCTGTTTCGAAATCATCATAGTAAAACTGGATCTGAAGAGCATGTTCTTGTTGTGAGAATAAACTGTGATTCCTAAAGTACGAGCCATCATTTAGATCAGTGTAAAAACCTTCCTGCTTTTTGGAAAGCTTCACAGACTTCACTGTTCCTAAACATGGATGAAAGAGAGCCCATTATGGGTACATACATGAACTTATCATTGACAGGAACTTGCCTATATGTGCCTGTTGTTCTATCTCTGCGTGTATCAAAGCGCACACCAAGAACATGCTCTACAGGCTGAACTATCTTCCATTTTTCCTCAAAATGCCTCAGTCTTATAGATTCTGTGTTAAGACGTGAGAATGGGTTTTCAAGATTAGCAAAACAATCCTCAACTTTTTCTAAGGTTTCCCTGGATGCATCAGGTGACAAACATTCAACGACAGCTTCTTCTGCATGAGCATGATGTCATTAACCAGTTCTTCCATTGAACCAACTAAACATTGCACAGTACTTTCAGGAACTCCTGATGCTTGAACTTGAGCTATGACAGAGCTACACATGTCCAGTATTTGCCATTTTTTCAATCGGAATGTGTGTAGTAACAGTCTAAATAACATGGAACAACTTCTGTGATGTACCTTGCAAATGTTTTATCAGCCAAGAGGTGTTCCTCTTCAAAGTGCACTGTGGAGGATTCTTACTCTGATTTCCTTGACCCGAGGACTCTCCCTGACACTGTCCACATCGATGCCATACACAGTGGACTGGATCAATGTGTAGAAGTTGCACAAGGCCTCATTGTAGGACACAGCAAAAGCAAAATGTGCCTTGAAGAGCTCGTCAAAGGCAGCTACTGCGGTCTGCGTTGAACAGGGGATGACCTTTTGGTCCAGGACAATGTAGAAATTTTGAATGCTGTTCTTTCTTTCTTCGACACACAGGAGAAAGGGCTGAGTAGGGCCAGTCCCCCTGAGGAAGGTCCCCATGCCCATCTTAAAGAAAAACAGTGAATACAATTGCATGTTTAAAAAAATGTTAGATATCATGTGCAGTTATTTTTAGTACCACAGTTTTAAAGAAGATAAGAGTGTTGAAACACCAAGGCTTGTCTGGTGAAAAAAAAATATTAAAAACTAATTTGCATAATGATGGGCCCTATTGCCATGTCAAAAGTGGGTTTCCCCGTGAAAAATATCCTACATCAGTGGGCAACTAGAATGACACTTCTCAACTTTTAGAAAATACCTTCATGAACTTCATCAAGCGATCAACAGCATTGGATGCACCAATTTTTGAAGACCTCTTGCCCTTGGATGTTGGAGGTAACAAGTGAAGCAGAAAGAGAATAGCAGCAACCTCACGGTCCCATACTGTGGAATGACAATTGAT